GATGCGACTCTGGTGCTGAAATTGCAAATTCTGGACTTGTTTTGTGCTGACCTTTATGTTGCAATTGCTTGGTTTCTTCAGTATCTTGATCACGATGGCTTGCTGTTGTATATTTGGATCACTCATAATGTGCGTCTGTTTAAAACTGAAGTGGTGTTCACTTGTGAATAATGAACCTCACTCCTGCTGTTTTTCCATTCCTCGAAAATTGCTGCAACAGGAAACGTCCATCGTTATGCTGTGATGGCCGTTCCTCCTTTCGTCGCCGTTCTCCACAATGTCTCAGCTGATCTTCCTACGTTCTTCTTCCAGCACTTGATTGACATCAGTAAGCCGCAGCAGTTCTGATCCGTAAGGAGTATTTTCACTAATATCTGTTTTCCTACTTGACTGTCTGTTGCGTAGATTGGCGGCAAGGCATGAGGGACATGAGGGCAGTGGTTTCACTTATGACATCATTTTTTAAAAATTGGTAATATCTAACCGCGTTGGTGAGGTGGGTTGGTTAACGTAACCTACTGAGCCTCGCTGGGTGCAATATTCAAGCCTTCACGGCACGGTTGGTTCTGCAGAGCCTAGAGGCTCAGCGCACATCATCTGAAGAACATGTCCTACCACTGAGGTATTAGCAGTAGGATTATAAAGAATATCAACAACAAATATCTTTAAGAAAATTTGACGTTTTAGATACGGAGGATTTGGAAAAGGTTTCGACAAAGTGATAGACGAACACAGAGGAATTTTCGTCGCTTACTTTTTTTCATGACATCATACGGAGATCATCAATCAGAATAATGCATATTTCCGATTGTTGCTGCAAGATTGGCCTGAGTAAACACGAGAGAGAATGACGCGAAGGTTTATTTATCATAGCCTCTTGGGAGAGTTTGAATGCAGTTATAAACCTCAAAGTGATTTCGACCCAAATCGCTTGGACTTTCATCTCCTTGAGGCTTGCATAGTGATGTTCGTCGTTAATCATACAATGGGTTGCTTAAGCATCAAGAAAGAAAATGGACGTGTTAAGTTTTAGGCTTCTGACCGCAACGGTATCCTGAGCGGATGCAATTAGCAGTGGTCATCGTCTTCAGCCGTTTTCAAAAACGAAATTTCTCTGCTATGTCGCAACCTATGGAATCTCAGCAATCAGTCGCCCATGTCATATTGGTGGCATCTGCAGTGTTTCCTCTCATTCCCACGTAAGGAGCTCGTGTGGTTAATGTTCAACCAGGTTTTAATCGTAGCAGGGATAACGATTTTATCAACAGAAGTTCCTGTGCCCGTAGGAGAATAGAATAATTTCTTGGGTGATCCTACTCTTCAGCCCTCACTATGCGTCGAAGTAAGCCTTGCTGTACACAGTTAAACCGTAGTTCTTGCCCATTCTTTAACACAGTAGTCCATATGCTGTAAAACAACGTAGTGACTCGACTGACGCAATGTACAGAGGGATTTTTGTAGAGTTATTTCAATTTAAACCTGAGTATCGCACATCGTACGAAAAGCACCGTACGCGAGCGTGAAACATACTGAATTCTGACTGGATGGTGCTGTTCCCAGACATAATGATTTCATGACATTTAAACTCTGCATCTTGAAGCTCTCCACCTCCAGGTTTTACTTGCATATCACCTGTGCTGAAATGGGCTTCTCATAACGTTTAACTTCTGAAAGCGAAAGGAAAAGCCCACATTCGCGCCATTATCGTATACGGTATCTGTACAGCGATAGACGTCAGGTACGACTTACCAGGAGAACATCATCTACACTCCATTTAAATCCGAATCTTAGATGACCGGTAGAATTGAACACATCTTCAAGACCCCTGAAAATAGCTCTTCACAGCTAAATAATACGTTCACAGTCTACGGATCATCGATATCGTAAAAAAGTCCATCAAGGCAGGTGCAAGGTAAACCCAGGTGTCAGAAATGCGTCGCAATTACCAAAATATCAAGGGACCTTGGCCTGCATGAACGACCTCTTAGGCATGGAGTAGCAATGATAAGCGGAGTTCCGGTTTATAGTAATATATGGTCTGCTAGTTGAACTACACTTCCAATGCATGTGCATGAAATTTTAACGTTTTTAATATCTCATTATATCACTTGGGGCATAAAAAACTGCACATTTATTCATTTCCATTGTGACAGTCTGTAGAAATAAGCTACTAACTGTGCTTAAGGGCTGGTCATGCTAGTCTCTTTGACCTCATGTATCCGAAACCGGATGTGATAGCTTATCTTTGGAAAATTGAGGCTTTTGACCAATGGCATTGAAGCCCAGATCAGGATCCCGTCACAAGTTTCACTATACAAAGACACAACAGACGACATCCAAAAAGGAAATATTAAGAAGGCTCACGAGGAAGTGTTTGAAATTTTGTCTGTCCGCTTGTCGAATAACAATGTAAATATGTTAACATGCTTACAACAGGATT